TGGTTCATGTTGGTCTTCTGACCTCCAACTCTAAGAGATGAAATTTGTGTTGTTTTAAGACATATCTATTATATACCCTATCCTGACCAGACAGCTAAAAGGTTGTTTGCTTCTAGGGCTTTGAACAGCCCACTGCAGAGACCCAGCCCCCAGCAGGCAGGGCCAGGCCAGTCTGGAAGAGACTTGGACCTTCCTCGAGGGCAGGTGCCCAGTTCTGAACCTGCCCTGCCCCCAGCCTCTTTTGGGAACCAGGTGGCGGCCTGAGTTCAGGCTGCAGGGTGAGCGGTGGCTGCAGGGGTGAGGGCCTGGTTAAGAGGCTCACATCGGGGGCAGTGCAGAGGGAGATGCGCTGGCCAGGAGCTGGCATTGCTCGCTGGCGCAGCGTTGGACCACAGAAGGGATGGGGTGGGTGTTTATGGTCCGAGGTGTGACCTCGAGGCCTGGCTGCTGAGTTCGTCACCGTATCCTGTTCACAGCTGTTTCCACGCCGAGGCGCTATCTGCCTGACTTAAGTCATTATATCTATTTCCAAACCAGCAATTAAAGAGCTAAAATTCTTTCATGTGGCCTGATTAGCTCTGGCAGGATGATCAGATGTGGCCTCTCTGCTCCTTCTGCATAACTTCCTGGAAATTTTCACAGCCCAGGTTTTAGAAGCAAATACTAATTAGCGCCAGCTGAGGTCACCCTCAGAGCACTGCTCCTGATTTATGAGCCATCCATGGGAGTGTGTATCCCGGGTTCTGCCTTGGGTTTGAGTCTCTTGTCTCACTGGGGGGAGGGGACAGGTCTGCGCTTGTGGTTTTTGCGGGTGTGCAAGTGGATGAGGACTTGGGGTCATCCTGGAGGTGTGCTAGGCAGACTTGAAGGGCCAACGTTGTGTCACCTGGATGCCCCAGTAAACACACCTGAGACCACTAGGGGGCGCGCGAGCCAACCTAAGGTTCTGTCTTCTGTGACTGGAGGAGCCCTGTCCTGGCTGCTTGTCAGGAGGGTGGATCCTAAGTAATACTGAGCCAAGAAAAAGAGCCACAGTACCTACAGAATAACGTGCGTGCAAACTTAAAACACAAACACATAAAAACTTTTTTAAAAGACAGCTACATTCCATTTGTATGAATGTATAATGGACTGTAGGTCTCTAGTCAAACTCATAAAGACCAAGTAGAAAAGCGAGGGCCAGAGCCTGGAGGAGGAGGGCGCACGGAGGTGGTATTTGATGGGGACGGAGCTTCAGACTGGGAAGGAGTCGCTCTGGAGATGGAGAGTGGCGAAGGCTGCACAAGTGTGAATGTGCGCTTATGGTTACAACAGGGGCTGGGGATTTAGCTCAGCGGCACAGCACCTGCCTGGCAAGCGCAAGGTTGTGAGTTCGATTCCTGGTACCGGAAAAAAAAATATGGTTATAACAGTGTATTTCGTGTGATGTGTGTTAAATCATAATAATTTTAGAAGATGGATACAGAGAGACGTACCTGAGATGTGGAGGGCTGGCGAATGGAGGGATGGGAGCAGAGATTGGGGAAAAGGGATAAACTGAGGGAGCACAGGAACCAAGGTGCAGGGGAGCTGGGACCCTGGCTGCTGTCTAGCGTGTATGCATTAGCGTCAAATAGCGTAAGTGAATTTGCCAAATGCAGAGTTTATGCTAAGTTGGCAAATGGAGCGCCTGCTTGGGCTTCCTGGCCTGTCCTGCCTCACTCCTCTCCTGACCACCTGTGAAGGTGCCTCATTTTGACAAGGGATGGAGGCTTTCTACAGGGAAGTGCTTGTTTCTTCTTATTGAGGATTAACTGCTTAAACGCGTTTCCGCTTTGCCAGCGTTACCTCCTCGGCATCTGCTAAGTGAATATAGCCAGCTGCGTGTCCTTCTGTGACCTCCCTGCCCCGACATTGGGGAGGGGGGTCTGCTTTTTCTTGTTTGCGCCAGTTCAAGCACAAGCAGCCTTAGATACGGTTGTTCTGCTTTTTAATTCACTGTTTTAAAAGCCTCAAGCCATAACTTAACTCAGCTCTCTGCAAAAGCAAGGTTTTATAAAGTCCAAATGCATTGCTAGTGAAGTAATAGGACTTGGAATGAAGTCAGGATGAAGGGGTACTGACGGGCTGGTACACTGTGCCTTCCGCAGTGCCTGAGGGCCCCTTTGAGGTCTAGTCAAGGAGGGGGGGGGTATTAAGACTGGGACTTCTGAGATCCCACCCATATTTGTGGCACCAGCCCACAGTGTGAACACAAAATTAACTGCACACCTGTGACTGTTGTTTATTGTGCTAATAATGTCAGTCTTCTGTGATTTAGATCAAAACCAGCAAAAATTTTACACATTTGCCACTGAAGTCAATAAAGCGCTCCTGTAAGTTTAAAAACCCTGCCCTGGAAACAGGGCAATTTTAAGCTGTGAATCAGAAGTCTACTTAGACTTCAAAAGGGAGACTAAGCAGAAAGGAGTTCCAGGTAAAGTAGAAGCCGAGTGTCTTCTTCACAGGGTTAAAAGGCTTGAAGGAAGTGGAAGAGACTAACTTCCCCTCCCCGTGTCATGGATGCCCTTTTCATTGCTGGGATGAAACCCCGGGCTTTGCGTGTGCTACTCTGCCGTGCTACACATGCAGCCTGTGATGTCTTCATGCTGTGTCTGAGCGGCACTAGCAATGGCCCCTGATCCCTTATGATGAGCCTCTCCCGGCTTGGAGACCCTGAGCTCCTGTCCAGGAGCTGGAGGGAGGCCCGGGCTGTCTGCCTGTCTGGGACAACTGCAGGGCAGCGGCTTGGGCCCAGCCTGCTGGTAAGAAGCCCGACCACCCCGCTACGTAGAACATTCTTTTGTGTCCCAGAAGCCCTGGTCCTTTGAGAGCTGCTGGACTCTGGGTTCTGCATGCCCAGCACTTGGTATGGTTGGATTTGCACGGCTTCAGAGTTGCACAGGGGCATGCATTAAATCACTTCCTATCACAAGGGGCCCAGTCTTGTTGGTAGCATGGGTATAAAAATGCCGGCCTCACGAGATTGCTGAGGTGATTCAGTGAGGTAACGGGGGTATGTGAGCCTCTGTCCCAGAGTTTGGTATATAGTAGGTGCACAATAATGGCACCTGTCACTACTTCATGTATCGTGGGTTTAGGGTAACAAGAGATCATCAGACTATCCTCTGTATGTTGGTTTCCAAACTTGTGGTCACAGGGTGGCTGCTGCAAAGAAGTTGCATCTTCATTTAAGGGAGGAAGAAAGGGCAAGGAATAGGATTTGCCATCCCTGTTCTTCTCATCCAACAGCTTTCCCGGAGGGCCCGACAGACTTCCCAAGGGATGCCTGGCCAGTTCTGGTTAGGTGGCCACCTGTAACTGCAGGCAGGCCAGGAAGATGAGTGGGAAGGACGTAGGGCTGTCATGCTTTACCCTGCCCTGTCATTTTCATAATGCTGCCTGGGGTGCAGCTGGGGTTGTTAGTGGGGAAGAAATGGGTACGAGTGGATGGGATAGCAGCCCGCAGAGACTGCCCAGAGCTGTTGTCTGATTCCTCTGGGGCTCATCCAGCCTACCTGCCTGTGTTGTGGCTAGAGATGGTGGACAGCGGGACCCACTGCCTGGCCCTGTGGCCTCGGAGACATGGCCCATGCCTCTTAGAGATGCCCCTTCCGGGTCCCAAAGCCTCTCCCCTGTTCTGATGCCAGGTACTGGAATTGGGGCCAGGGAAGGTCATTATCAGAAACTTCAGAGTCTGTCCCTTGTGGAGACAGGCGTGACCCTAAAGTCACTAGGGCCTCACTGTGTGGCCCAGCTGTGTGCCCCGGGGGGCCCAATCTGGCAGAAAACTCACCCTCAAAGCCACAGGGCTGTTCCTGCCACGGAGACAGTGGAGGTTCTGTTTGTGACATCAGAGGCCCCTCTGAGTGCGGGGTGTGGGTTGAGATCAGCCGTGAGCCTGCGGGGCCCCTGGGACAGACTGCTGTGGGCCAAGGCATCCTTGGAAAGAGGAGCTGCGGCCAGAATTCCAGGCCAGAAATGATGGCACAGAAGGCTGGGTCGTGCATTTCCAGAAAGTGCAGTTCAGGGCAGCCTTGCAGCCTGAAGTTGTCTCCCTGGGCTGCATGCGGGGGCCCCTTTATTTTAAACCACAAATGGCTTTAACATCTTGCTCCTGCACTGTTCCCGTGCCGACGGGAGGGGCATGTTGGAGGAGGGGTGCGTCACCCACTTTTCTGCGCCCTGATGGGTGGCAGGAAAGCCCGAGGCAGAGCCAAGGCCTGCGGGGAGGTGGCTGTCCACCTAGCTGCCTCCTGCAGTGTCCGGGGCCTGGAGCCTTCCCTGCCATGGTCCCTCCCTGCCAGCTGAGCTCTTCAGGCCTGGAGAGACCCTGACTCGGAGATGTTGGCCTTTCTAGGCTGGAAGCGACCTTAACTTAGAGCTGGGTCACAGTGTGACCTTGACCTGCAGGTGGGGCGCAAGGTACCCTCCGTTTCCAGTCAGCTGTGCAAACTCAGATCTCAGCGCCCTTCCCAGGATACCCTCCGACCTCCCTCCAGGGCCACTCTGGGCGGCCTCCTGTGGTGCCGACCTTGGTACCTGGCCTCGTCAGTATTTTCCTCTAGTCCCCGAGCCTTGCTGGGCTGGAGCAGCGCTGAGTGTTCTTCCCTCCCCGTTTCCAGCATGCGATGCTATGCTTGGCATAGGCTGGATCTGCAGGAGGTGATGGGAGAATAAATGAGTGAATGGGACAGGAAGGGCAGAAGGAGACAAAGGGACACGTCAGACTCCTCTAGGAAGACTCAGTAGCTTTGAGGCATCATACTTTGTGAGGTGAGTCAGTCTGCAGGTTACAGGATGCGTTTCCATAACCAGCGCCACTTCATGATGGTACTGACGCCGACTGTCCTGTTTGGGGACCAGGACAGTCTGGGCAGGAATCTGGGAAGCTGGTCAAGCAGGAGCTAAAAGGCCATCAGCTGGGTGAACCCAGGCGAGTTGGGGATGGTCATAGCATTTCCTGTTTCCCTGTGTTTCAGAGTGAAACATCTTTCAACCTAATATCAGAAAAATGTGACATTCTATCAATTCTTCGGGATCATCCTGAAAACAGGATTTACCAGAGAAAAATCCAGGTGAGGCAGAAGGTGGAGAGATGAGGGTTGTAATTACAGTAACATGGAGCTGGGTACACAGAAGTGGGTGCCACTTTGAAGGCTCAGGTTCCCAGACCAATTATGGCGCTCCCAGAATATTCTGATGCTGGGCCTGTGTCTCAGAAAGAATCCTTTTCTTGCCAAAAAAAAAAAAAGAAATTTCCCCAAAAGCTAAGCATGATTCCTAGAGCTTCATTTACTCACTAGGACTTTATTACAACTCTGTGAGGCAAGGCCTTCTATTATCCCCCTTTTATAGCAGAGGAAACTAAGGCACGGTTCCTGAGTGGCTGATCTGGGATTTGAACCCAGGCAGCCTGGCCTCATGGGCTGCATTCCTGACCACTGCACTGGGGACCTCCCAGAACAAGGGTGGTTACTGCAGGGCTATGGGGATCACTCTTGGGATGAGGCGGGTATGGGAGCACGGGCAGCACCTCTGCCCTGCTGTGCACCTAGGCGGGACGGGCCAGCTGCTGCAGCCCTCCTCAGGCTTCTCACAGCCCAGGGCGCAGCCTCCTGCCCTGACTTACCCCACGACCCCCACACGGGCCGGGTGTCGGCTAGCAGTACAGGGTGGTGGTGTTGGCGTCCCGAGACCCCCGCACAGCTGCAGGGGCAGGAGCAGTGGCTGGCGGCCCTCCAAGTCCTGTCGCCAGTGTCTTCCATCTCGTGAGCCCCTCTCAGCCAGCCTGCCTCAGGTGGCCTGGGCCTTCTCATCACTGTAGTAGAAGCTGGGACTCCTGACCCCCTAAAAACCATCCTTCTCTGCCAAAATAAGGCAGGACAAGGGACCCAGGCCACAGGAGAGGGCCACTGGCTGCTAGGAGCAGGGATGCAGGGAGTGCAGTGTGGACATTTCTCACACTGTGGAGAAACATCTGGGGGACCGTCCCGACTGCTCAGTCAGCCTGGGAAGCTCCCACCTACCAGCCCACGCCGTCTGCTCACACGGGTGCCCGCCACGCATCCCTCTGTGCTGCCAGCTGCCACTTCTTGATGGCCCATTTTTCCAGGAAGCCCTCCCTGACCTCTGGAGTCTAGTGTGGACCCTCTGCCCCATGGTACCCCTCTACGTCACCATCATCTAGTTACCTGTCACCCCCCGACTGTAGGCTGCCTGGGGCCAGTGGCCATGGTCCTCCCCGCCTGACAACAGGCCAGTCGATGTGTTTGTTGAATGAATGAGAGTGGGGGAGACTGAGGGGCAGGAGTGAGGTGTAGGTGGGGCCTGTGGCCAGGCCACCACCAGCCCCCATGAGAGCCGTGTGACTGCAAGGGTCTGCGTGTCTTTCCCTCTCCACAGGAACTCAGCAAAAGATTCACCGCAATCCGCAAGACCAAAGGGGATGGAAACTGCTTCTACCGCGCCCTGGGCTATTCCTACCTCGAGTCTCTGCTGGGCAAGAGCAGGGAGATCCTCAAGTGAGTGGTGCTGGGCTGGCGGGGCTGCCCCAGGCTGTGCGCTGGCTCAGCCCTGGGTTTCCAGGAGAGGGAGCCGGGGCTCCTGGCCAAGGCGTTTGATGCCAGGGAAGCCGAGCTGCTGCGGTGGTGAGGCCGAGGGCAGCCGGGCGGCATCAGTGACCTTTTGGGTGCTTCCAGCCCTCTGTGTTGCCCACAGGTCTAGGCCAGCCCAGGTGAGGCACACTGAGCACTTACCTGGTGACTCCCTCCATGCAGATAACAACTACAGAGCTTCACCTTGGTGCTTTGAATCATTGCCACTGACCTTGGGCTTGAGGGCGTGAAGTCCAGTGTCTTCCAGGCCAAGCCTGGCCCTGAAGTCAGTGCAGAGAAGGTCCCTGTCCGGAGCTGCTGCCGTGGCGACCTGACAGTAGACTTGGTGCTTTGGTCAGTCCAGGGCCTGTATGCTTGGACGTTTGTCGGAGCCCAGGGAGCTTGTTAGGATGCACATTCCTGATCACTTAGGTTTGAGTGGTTCTGAGGTTCTGCGCTACTGGGCTTTGGGCCACACTAAGCAACAAGAGACTCACCTGGCCCATTCTTGGGGACTCAGAGTCCTTGGAGGACTGGATGGGGGCCTGGCCCTCTTCCTCAGGGACGTGGCCCCACACACACTCTGGGGTTGTGACCTTATCCTCCTCTGTGAAATCAATCTCTCTCTCCCCCTTGTCAGTGGCTGTGCCAGCTGGCCCCACAGTGCCGCCCACTTGTGCTTCTTATGCACGGCAGCAGATGGCAGCAGCCCGGTTACTTAGGGCTGTGTCTGCTCTCTGCCGCAGACCTCTAGGTTGTGGAACCAGGGCCCAGGCTGGGGTTCCTGGCCAGGTCCCCACAGGCAGGGATAAAGGTCCCGGTCCCGGGAAGGGGCTGTGCATTGGGAGCCTTGTGGCGGCAGCAGAACTCACGGAGAAGGGCCTTTGGGTGGGCCTGGAAGGGTGGTTGGGTGCTAGCAAGTGTTTAACAGCACGGTTTGCCGATTCCTGCAGTGTAAGTACTCCTGTCGTGATCGATTTCCAGGTACCAGCATGAGGTCATTGAGCACAGAATTAGGATGAGTCCCAAAATGCCACACACTATGATCCATACAGCATTCCCATAATGCATTCCTAGTAGACCACATGATTCTTGAGAGTGTAGATAATACTGAATAATAGAAAAGTGTTTTGAGTGTTTATCATCCTTGTTTTTTGGTATACTTATACTTTATTTCATTGCAAGTTTACACCCTTTCGTGTTCTGTTTTTGTTTTGTGGCACTGGAGACTGAACCTAAGGCCTTCACCCTGAGCTACATGCCCAGCCCTTTTTAAACTGTTTTATTTTGAGATAAGGTCTCACTAAGTTGGCTTGGGCTTGAACTTATGATCCTCCTGTGATCCAGAGTGCTGGATCACAGGCATGTACCTCCACATCCAGCCCATTTGGGTCTTCATAATGGCCGTGTTAACACCTGGCTGGGAGAATTCCTGGAAATGCAGAAGTTCAGTGGTGCTGATGTGGGGTATAAACCAGGTGTGGCAAGGTCTCCTAAAGCTCCTGGTCGGTGCCGCTGGGAGGAAGTGCAAACAGGGAACTGCTCTACGTGGTTGGGTGCTTGTGGGTCGAGGAAAGATGAGGTGCTGGGGACACATCCCTTGGAGAGCTTTGTGCCAGGGGTGGAGGCCAGAGTGCTGCTGGTCACTCCCGGGGTCCCTGTGGACAAGGTAGGAGAAGGGAAGCCGGACACACCCAGGCCAGAGGATGTGAGAAGGCAGAGACCATGGGCACAGGAAAGAGGGACAGGGTCAGGAGCCCTTTGGAGAGTAAGATCAGCACTCAGGGAGTGGGTGATGATTCCCCGTAGTCCTTCAGCTGTGAAGGGGACATAACGGGCACCTCCTGGGTTGATTCACAGCTGGAAGGACAGCACATGTCAGCGTGGGGATCAGGTGGATGAACTTTGCAAGGTGGTAAAGCATGTCACCTGCTGGGGACATGGCCCCTTCAGCATGGGGCACACCTGATTCCTCAGTGACCACTGTCTCTTGCCCTGCAGGTTCAAAGAGCATGTGCTGCAGACCCCAAATGACCTTCTGGCTGCTGGCTTTGAAGAGCACAACTTCCAGAATTTCTTTAATGCCGTGAGTTTGAGGGAGCCATGCTGGCTGAGGACCCAGGGCCTTCCATGTGGGCAGAGCGGATGGGAATAGGCCCTTCCAATCCCCCAGTCCCTAGGTGAACCTGTTTCTCCTTCCTCCCTCAGGGCTAGGGAAGGACAGGGTTGGTACCAGCTGGGGGGCTGGCGGGTTCAGGGCACCTGGGCCCTGCACCCCTCTGGAGGAGGAGGCACCTCCTTCACCCCTTCCCTCCCCAGCTGATGTGTGATGAAGGAATTCTAACCCAGGCAGTCTCTGAGACATCCATGCTGTCCTCTAGACATGCCTCTGGGCCACAGCACTAGCCCCCAGCCCTTGGCTCTGGCAGAATCCAGTTGATTTATCCCTTAGCTTGAGGATCTCAAAATGAACATTCTGAGGACATCCTGGCGGGTGGGATGGGTCTTGCTGGGGCGCCCCTGCTGATGGCGCCTGGCATGCAGTTTTACAGCGTGGTAGAGCTGGTGGAGAAGGACAGCTCGGTGTCCAGCCTGCTCACGGTGTTCAACGACCAAAGCTTCTCCGACCGCATCGTGCAGTTCTTGCGTCTGCTCGCGTCAGCCTTCATTAGGAACCGCGCCGACTTCTTCCGCCATTTCGTTGATGAGGAGATGGATATCAAAGACTTCTGCAGTCATGTAGGTTCTCCTGGGGCTCAGGCCCTGGGGATGCAAACCTGGCTTTTGTCAGTCTCCTGCAGTTTCAGCAGCCATCCTTGGCCAGGGGACGTGGGCGTCACACTTGCAGTTTAGCCTCAACTGGCTTAGCAGGTTGCATGTGTTTTGGGGATTTCCTTTCTGGAAAATCCAGGCTTTAGACTGGTCTATGTATAAAAGCACAGAGGAGCAGCTCCAGTCTGGATTTGTCCTGAGATGCGTATTTGTTTTCAGTATTTTTAATCTGAAGGAGTGGCCAACATCTAAAAACTGGGTGATTTTCATATGAATATCTGGATGTCTTTAGAAAGTTAGATCAAGCCTGATAGACCCTGACCCTACTGTGGTGGCAATCAGCAGGCCCCAAATAGCAGCACGCCTCCATGGGCCACTGCAACTGCCCCCAGGTCTGCCTCTCGGTGGTTTCTTCAGTATCCACACTGGGCCACTCACTGACCACTGGCCTCTGTATGCACTTCAGCTTGGATTCACTGCCAGACAGGGTCCTGTTCAGCTTTGTTTGGGGCCAGGCTGCAAAGTTCCTGCCTCGTTCCAGATTAGTAAAAGGGTCTGGAATAAAAAAAGTTGCATGTTCAGTTTTTGCAATCCCAGTGATTTGTAGTAGTGTCACTTCTGCTTGAGCCTGCCTCTCCTGTAAAATGAGGGTGTCAGCACCCGGCCTTACAGGTGGCTGTGAAGAGCACTTCCCAGCACAGACACTGTGACCACGACCCAACCTCTGCCTGCAGTGCCTAAGCTGGCTTGTTGTTTTCACCTTGGCTTTGCAGGAAGTGGAGCCCATGGCCATGGAGTGTGACCACATCCAGATCACGGCCCTGTCCCAGGCACTGAACATCTCCCTGCAGGTGGAGTATGTGGACGAGATGGACACCGCCCTGAACCACCACGTGTTCCCCGAGGCTGCCATCCCTTCCGTTTACCTGCTCTATAAAACATCCCACTACAACATCCTTTATGCAGCTGATAAACATTGATTAATTTTAGGCCATGCAGTGGAACCTGTCGCCTGACGGAACTGCATTCTCAATGGAACATTCCAGCTTTTCTATTTTTTAAGTGACTTAGACAATAGCTAGAGAACATACCGCCTTTTGGGCAAAGCCACTGGAAACAAGGCTTGACCATTATGGATTATGGTAACTGGTGGTATTTTTAGTATTTATTTTGATGGCGGATCAAATGCCTTCTAATTGTGGGCCAGAAAGCCAGGACCCCTGGCTTTATACCCGTTCCTTGGGAGACCCTGTGTGGGTCACCTACCCTCGCTGGACCTATTTCCGTACCTGGAGGAGGATTCTATTATATGAAAATGAGGCCAGGCATGGCGGTGCATGCCCATAATCCCAGCACTTGGGAGGCTGAGGCAGGAGGATCATTGCGAGTTCGAGACCAGCCTGGGCTACAAAGTGAGCTCAAGGCCAGCCTGAACTGCATAGTGAGACGCTGTCTCAGAAAGACAAAAAAAAAAGAAAATGGGAGACCTCTGTTTTCCCCTCTCCAGGGAGCACAGCCCCTTTTCTGCAGGGGAAGAAAGCTCAAGACCAGCTGTCTCAACTCCGGCAACAGCACACCTGATGAAGACATTTAATCCAATCACACGTGGAGCTGGTCCTTGGTGGGTGGCTTCATTCACGATGGGGGCATCTTCCTACCCCTTACTTGAGACTTCTATGCCAAAGTCCAGAAAAAGGCCTTAGCCTTCAGCACGAAGAAAGCTCAGGTTGCTGGGGCCCCCTCTACCTCTCAGGGCCAGGAGGGCCTGACTTTTAGAGGGTGGGCCCTTCCGGATTCTGCTGTTGGCCATCAGCTCCACCTGGATAAAGGCTCACAGGGACTAGGGCCTACAGCATGTGCTTATGTCTGGGACCAGGAGACTGCAGCTGTCCCCCGTCACCCCCCACAGATCAGAGGTATGGTCTAGGTGCTCTGCTGGGTAGAGGCTCGTGCAGCTGTGGACTCCACCTGAGCAGAGTGGATCTTTTGCAAGGCAGTTTTAGCTTTTTTCTCCCTTTCCCTCTCTGCTCTTTAAGGCCTGGCAAGGGGAGTGTTGGTGAATAGCAGAGACAAGCCATGAAAATCAGCAGTGGGAGTTCCATTGCTGACAGCTGCCTGGCTAGCAGCTTCCCGCACAGGTCCGCTTCAAGAGGCCCCCTCACCTTCAAGAGGCTCCTGCCTGGGTTGGCAGGCAAGCTGGCCCTGATGGGGAACCAGACACTGCCTGGGCTGCAGCGCTTCTAGCCACTTGTTTCCTCCGCAGGAGCACATGGAGAATGTGAGGCGTGGATGCCCTTGGGTCCCTTCCAAACCGAAGGCTGCTTTCTCACAGGTTTCATTCTGCAGGGATTTCTTAGACTCCGTTGGTGCTGCGACTGACACGGGTCTATGCAGAGAACTGGGCAGCTGACTCCAAGTCTTACTGACACAAATCTACCTTGGTGAAAGCCAATAGCACTCTGTCAGGGTGATTTACTTCCAGCCAGGGATCCTAGTTCCCACACGCCCTCTCCAGCGTTTGGATCCAAGGGCGCAAGCTTTTCTACAGGAATGTAAACCTGACCCTCACCTCGGAATTTGTTCAGTGTTCCCTCCTGCTCTGGGCAGGAATGTTGGGGTCTGGACACGTCTCCCACTTCCAAGGCACCCACTTCCAAAGTGCGTGAACACACAGGGCGCTGTCTGATGCCCTCCCTGGGCCCTCTTGAGAGGGAGCGAGTGAGACTGGCTGCTCCTCTGTGCTCCTGTGGCCGTGTGGGCTTCTCTGGAGCGCTGCTGGAGACGTTCTCCCCGCGGTGCCCCCACACAGGCCTGCCTTCCGGCGTGGTCAGTCATCGAGGCAGGGCGCCCATGCCCAGGGAAGAGGCACGCTGTGTCGGTTTCATCATCACCCTGCTGCTTTGCTCTTTTCACAAAACACTGACCAATTCTGGCCTGCCTTTATTCCCCCACGTGTGCCCTCGGACCACGTCCCTAAGGGAAGGCACTGAGGAAGTGGAGGGGCTGCTGAAATCCAGGCATTGAGTTACCCGTGTCCAACGGCCAGCGATGCCGCAGCTCCCACTTCCTAGGTAATTGCCCCACACGCCACAGACCCAATACAACTGCCTGTGTTATTACTTTCTTTCCAAAGGAAACAAGCACTAGAAAACAGCAACAGAAAGAGCAGTGTCCTTGCTTTGGTCTGGGTTCCTATTTTAAGCACAAACAAAAGGGCTTAGAGCCAAATACCCAGGGCTCAAATCTCAGCTTTGCCATTAGCTGTGTGACCCTAAATTGCTTTGCCCCTCTGAGCTCCACTCACCACCTGTGTGGAACAGACACACTACCAGCTGACTGTACCAAATGGCGTGAGATTGTGTGAAGACAACTGTAAGACCTGACACATTCTAAGTGAATGTGTCACCATCCCTGACAGGCAGCACTGTCACCTCAGTACTGAGAGTGCCTCCCTCCCTGGGCTGCAGCTCGTTTCCTGGCATTAAAATGGTTTCCATGAACAACTTGTCCTGGCTTCATGTTGGGTACCTGGCATGCACCGAAGAGCACCATCACTCTCCTGTGGGCCATGGGTGTGCGATTACGTGGGGAGGGATATTCTTCACTTAATGGCAATCGGGACTCAGGCAGCTCAGGCAGAAGATGCCACCACAGCCTCCCTGTCTGGTGTTTAGGCTGAGAGGTGGCTTGAGACCTCCCCAGGGTTCAGCCGCTGTTCAGGGCATGTCCCTTACCTTCTCCACTGCACCACTGGGAAAATGCTAGTCCCCTGCTGTCCTGACCGCTGCCAGGCAGGAGCTGGCTTCCGGATGGGACGTGCTCTTCTGTTTTCTGCTGGCAGGTCTCTACATGACACTGGAGGGAGGCAGGGTAGGGGACATTCCCCAGCCACACTGCTGACTCCCAAGACCAAAGCACTTGTGTGAGGTTGCCTTGGGCCTAGAAGGAAGATGCACTGAGTCCTAACTCCATCTGACTGCAGTGTGACTCTGAACCATCTTAACCAGTGTTTCTTCAACTCCAAAAATGCATATTAAGGGAGGGAAGGTCCTTGGATCTTGGGGTACCTTGGTCCACATGTGTATTTTCTTCAAACCCACAGGTTCCTTGAACCATGCAGCTGTACTGTGTTCCACATGGGCATCTCAAAGTCCAGACAGCTGTGCAGAAACCCGGGCTTCTGTGTGGCAGCTGTGGTTGCTCACCCACGTGGCCCAAGGCAAGCAGGCAGCAGGCCACGTGCTCCTCAGCACAGGCCTACACTAGCCCCTGAGCCCAGGCCTGAGGGCTGCACCCCACAGAGCTCAGCCAAGAGAACAGAGTGGCCAGTACTACGAGAATGTGAGCATAGGCACTGAGGCCCTCAGGAAGAGCACTGTCACTCCTCCGGACACAGCACACCTCCAGAGTAGGGACAGAGGCGTCCCAAGCCAAGGGAAAAGCCTGTTCTGCAAATAGGTGCATGAATTCTTGGGACTGAGCAAGTACAAGGAGCCCATTCTGCCACAGACAGGGAGTAGGGTAGAGCGGGTCAGGCAGATGCTGTGCTGCGTGCCGATGACCTGCAGCCAGAGCCTGTGACACTACTCTTACCCTATTAAGGGACCTGTGCTGATGTTAATGAGGAAACACACTGCCCTGCCCCGCATCTTCTGGCTACAAATACTAGGATGACACGCTGGCTGTGACCATTGTTTTTAATTCAAGAGAACAAGGTGAACACAGAAGAAGCCTGTAAACACTGGAATACAGAAAGATGAAGCTGCTGCATAGAATTCTTACTCCACAACACAAATCTGCACAGGGTCTCTCCTGGTACAGGGCGGAAGAGCAGATTTTCTTAACGAGGGGTGGTAGAGTAAGGGACTCACAGATCAGCGGAGAACTGACAGCACCATGCGGGCACCACCACAGCCTGACTAGGGCAGTCACAGTGCACTTGTACTTGGCTGCGGTGGTCCCTGCTGCTGCTGTCGTCGGGGCTGCTGCTTCTGTCTGGAGAGGCAGCTCAACGCAGACTCGCCACTCCTCGGGGCAGCGGCGAGCACCGGCAGCCTGCCAGACTGAGTGGGATACTTGGTTTTTAGGTCCTCCTTGAACAACGGCTGAGAAAGCAGATGGCGCAGCTCCTTCTTCAGGGCCTTCATCTGCTTTTGTCGCCGACGCTCTTCTTGCTGGTCTGCTTTTCCTCCTAGAGACACAAAGGAAACAAGATCAAATTGGACTATGTATGCAGAAACATTCTGTTTCCCTTTAATGGCTAAAACAAACTGTTTTGGAACTACCCTGGGGAGGCAGGGTTCCAAAGCTGTCTGCAGAAGCTAGTGGTGGCTTGATGGGAACTATAAACATTAGGAAGGATAGGCAGGACCACTCTGTCCTTTATTCCACATGAAAACCTTAAAGGCAGAAATTGTTTTCATTTCTGACTTTATAGATGAGGCAGCTTGGGCTTAGAAGGGACACCAGCTCACAGAGCCAGGTGTCAAGAATAGTAGTAGCCAAGTACCTTGACTGAAAGTCAGGTTTCCTTCTACACCCACTTGCTGCCTCTGTTCACCTGGGCTTTGGCAAACTGACAGCTAAAAATCCCTCAGGACAATGAATACCTGTCTGCAGCTCAGCTCTCCTGCACCTCACCACCTGTGCTGTGACTCCATGTGCACAGGGAGGCCTGGCCAAGGGCTCCCCACCTCCCACCCTCAGCCCCCTACATCTTCATCTAAGCCACGGGCCTGAGCTACTCACATCAAGCCCACTCTCTGGCTCCTGGCTCCCAAGCTGAGCAGACAGCATGCATTAACTCTGACTTTGCTGCCTCTGGCCCTGAGATACCAGTGAATTCCATGGGCATCCATGACTAGGTAGAGCCATGGGCACTGATCATAACACTGGTGTCACCTGTGGTAGATCTGGTTCTCCCTTTCCTATGCAGGGACCATGAAGACTCATCCCTGCAACACTGTCCCTCCAGAGTAAGGCTCAGGCAGTGCCTGGTGGTAGCACTGTTTCACTGTACAAATCCCTTCTCTCTGTGAGCTTCATACAAAAAGGACAGTAATTCCTGCTCTGTTCATGTCATGACACTGGAGATCAAATGAGATGATGACATGGAAGTGCTTCACCAGCTGAGAAGGTAGGTACAACAGGAATGATGATAAATAAACAGCTTACTGCCAGGTAGTGTTGTACACCCTTGATATCCTTTAATCATCTTTATAACCCCGGGAGGCAAGTAGTTTGGTAAGGAAGCTGAGGTACAGCTGAGAGATTAAACAATCTGAATTGGTCACACAGCTGGTTAAGGAAATGAGCTAGCACTAAATGTGGCAGTCTGCTGCATGGGCACCTGCTCCCTGCACGAGACTCTGCAGCCCATCTTTGTGAGAGAGAAGCAGCAAAGGGCATTAGGCTCATCAGGGATTAGGGGCCATTAGCAAAATATGAAAGGGCATTTAGCTGGTTCTGACAGGGCCCACAGTAGTATGGAAAGTTCCAATGTAAAAGAAAAACTGAATGTCCCCTCCTCCACTCTCATCCAGCCCAAAGGCTTACCTTTATACATATCTTCTTCCAGCTCAATCTCAAGGGCAGCTGCGGCCTGCTCAATCCAAGAGTTATGCAGACAAGCCTGGAAGTTCCAGTACTCAGATTTCTCAATCTGTCGAGCTAGGCGGATTCGCTCCTGGGGGAGAGGAACACAGAGTATTCGGCTGATAGAGGATTCAGGCCTTTGGGAAGCAAAGTCTCCCTGAAATTGTACTGTACAAAAGCTCTTGAGATCAGCAGTCAGGATATACTCAGCTCCTACTGAAACATGTTTGTCTGAGCCCCTGATTAAGGCCCAGAGGGCGATTGTCACATGGATGTGTGATATACAATCACAGGGCTGCTTTCCCAATGTACTGCCCCCAGCAATCCCGCTGGCTGCTGTGCTACAGTTGGTTCAGCATGAACTCCTTCCCCCAGATATCACAGCTGGCTGCCACAACTCTCCTCATTGGCTTCAGATTAGACTGCAGTGACAGGATATCCCGCAGAATGGGGGACGGAGCCATGGCAAGCCATGTGAGTCCCGTCCTCCTTCCTAACAGGAATTTTCCATGATCTCCCCATTTCGTCATCCCCCACCATCTTTCCACACAGCTAATAATCCTTTTGAGCCACAGTAGCTCTGAGTCCTTGACTGCGCCCTGCTTTTGCTCTCTCAATTTCTGGAACTCTCTTCTCTTCAGCTCTCCACATCTCTACTGCAGGAAGAAATGCCTTCTCGTCCCAACATACCTACAGCCTCCAACCCCACATTTTCAACCTGAACCCGACGCAGCTGGCCAGCTCACAAACTGCTGAACACCTCCCCGCTGCCAGAAAACTCACCCCTCTGGTCTCTCACACTGGCCCATGGTAAGCAGCACCCAGTGGCAAACACCTGCTGGGTGACAATGAACCCACAAGGCAGGATTTACTGATTTCTGCTTCAGGGACAAGCCAAACCTTTAGTATCTCTCTCAACTTTAGTGCCTGTCTCATTACTCACAGCTCCCACACAGGTTGTCCATGTGGCCACACTCACTGCCCTATCCACTGAGGTGAGTGGAGACCAGCACCAGACAGCGAAGACGTGGCTGAAGGAGAAAAAAACTCCCGTCTATCATCACTCCCCTTTTCTTGCTTTTCCCTGGTATGGCACTCCTAGTTTTTTGTTTTTTGGGTTTTTCTTGACAAATCCCCCTGTTCAGCTGCTTACAGAACCTTTTTCAGTTTCTAAGCACGAGGCTGCCAGAATATCAGAGCATGGTATTCTGTAAGGTAGTAGCAGTTGCCTCAGCACTGGGTTGTGAAGAAAACTTCTTTTTTACCTTGACTACATCCATATACTTTGTCTGCACAGGGAAGAGTGGGATGTCCTCATCTTTCTTGAGGGTCTTGTAAATCTTCTTAAAGTTGACTACATCCTCAGGCCCAATGAGCATCAGGCTGAGGCCTTCACTGGTGGCACGAGCAGTTCGACCACTTCGGTGGATGTAAATCTCTGAGGTGTGAGGTACCTGCCAAAACAGGAACTGGGGTCAGACACAGCCACTGACAAAACACTCCTATCCCTCAGGGCCACTTCCCCAAAGCGGGTGCTCCTCCCTACCAGCCAGGCAGGTAGGTACCTCTGCAGCACCGGGGAACAATCTCACACCGGCTCCCTTAGTCCCATATTCAAACTCCCAGATTCAGCCTATTCACTGTGTAGGCTCTGCCCTCCCACACCCCCTGCTGCAAGTCCTCATAACCACTGAAGTGGACCATGGCAATCAATTCCAATCTAGTTCTCTCACTCCTGTTCACCATGCCCTAGATCATGCTGCCGGTGTCATCTTCCTGAGTCAGGTTGGACTATAACCTCATTCTACCTGAAGAAACGCAGCAGGTTCTTTATACAGTACTTGGTTCTCATAACCAACACCGAGTGATTGCACTGCACCCACTATGCATGTATTATACTATTTAACCCTCAGTATAAGATAGATACTTTCTGATAATCCATTATATAGACCAGGAAACTAAAATACAGAAAGGTCAAACCTCCTTGCAGGTCACCCAACTAAGGGGATGGGGAGCCAGAACTCAAGGTGAAGCAGTCCAGTCCAGGTATCATGTCAACCTTGGGGCTACATTACCTCCACTCAAATACATACTGGACACAGTACCCACAGAACACGTGGCACGGGCGCTGACAGCCTTTTCTCCCCTACTCCCATTACACACTCCACTGATCAGGCAGCATCTTTTCCAGCAAACAGCTTGGTATCTTTCCAATAAGCCCAGCAAACAGCTTGGTATCTTTTCCAATATAGTACTTGTAATGATTGATACCCTGTGTCAACTTGAGAAGTTTAGAAGTTTAATGAAGCCACTCAGCAGGGGGCCAGGCTCCTTACTTTGTAAACATTCTCATCCTGTGCAAGAGTCTGGCAGGGACAAGGTATGAGTGCCACACCTGCCCTAGCAGGTGGCTAGCCTGCTTACAATATAAGAGAGGAAAAAAGGCTTGCTCTCCCTGACTTTTGCCCTTGTTGCTTTTGCTGTCTTCTGCTGCCTTAACCTGTTGCCCCTGTGCCACACCACCCTGCCCTGGAGCCAGCTGATTAGAGTGAAACCTCCACAAACTGTGAGCTAAATAAACCTTTCCTCCTTTAATTTTTTTGGGTGTCGGGGTATTCTGTCTCAGCAACGAGAGAAAAGTAACTAAAACATATGTGGCACGGGTGCTGAGTCTTTTCCTCTGAGGCCAGCGAACGTCTTGGTATCTTTTTCAATATAGTACTCTACACAGCCACTGGGAACTGGTTCTAGAAATGAGATCTGTTGTTCTTCAGTTACACTCAGGGTGTTTCACTGATGACCTGACCCCAAGTTACCTGCCAGCTTCAGCAAAGTCACCTACTCCTCTCCCAACACGGCCATCTTCCCACTCTGGGCCAAGTCTCCCCAACACTGCCCAATCCTACATGTTTTCCCTTTTTGCTTTCCTCCCTCTGCACAGCCACAGCCTTTTCCCAAAGTAAAATACTTTCCTATAAAGTCCTGTAACTTTCTAGTGACTTCTGCCCGCTCACTGTCCTTCCCCATGCTGGATTTGACACTTCTTAGGGGAACCCAAGGAATTCTCAGGGCCTGCATCTTGCTCTGTCCCCCAGGAAATGACCCAACCCCTCCCTAAATGGAAGTAGGGATTTGCTCATTTGAAATCCACACCCTAGAGATTTTTAAAACCACAAAGAAGGATTACAAAGAAAAACAATAAAAATGTCATAACTACCATTTCCTGAGTACTAACCGTGTGCTGGGTGCTTCGCCATGAGCTCACTCTAGTTCTCATGACAACCCTATGGGGTAGGTAGCACCATTACAATGACATGGAACAGGAGGTACTAAGTAACTCACTCTTATCTAGCCACTTATAAAACATCAGATGGGATTCAAAGCCTGGTATTCTGGCTTTGGAGCCCATATTCCTAGCGACTACTCGTACTTTACAAGTTGCACACACTAATGATACTGCTACTATCATCCTGCACTAACATTAAGCATGTGCTTACAATGAGCCAGGGAACTTTTTAAGCGTTTTGTAAAATAGTAACTTATTTTACTTTAGTCAGAACCTAAGAAGGAGGCAGTATCATAACTGCCATTTAACACATCAGAAAACAAAGGTGCAGGGAGATCTAATAACTTGATCAAGATTGCTGGGATTTAAGCCAAGGGAGGTCTTCCTACCGTATTTTTCTACTTCCTACACCAAGATAACCATTAGCATGTTGCCCTGATCTGTCCCTATTATCTGTCCCTACTATGGCTCATGCTGAGGCTTAATTCCTCAGTGCAGCAGTGTTGGGAAGTGGGACCCTAATGTGAGGTGTTTGGGTCATAGGGCAGAGTTCCCTGAATAGATTAATGGCATCTCAAGGGAGGAAGTTTTTGCTCTGAAGGGGCTACGTTAGTTACCACGAGAATGCGTTGTTAAAAATCAAGGTTATCTGTTCGTCCTTCTGCCCTGCGGCTCCCACCAGAAGCTGAGCAGATGCTGGGGCCATGCTCTTGGACCATTCAGCCTCCAGAAGCACGAGCCAAAACAAATCTTGTTTCTCTGTAAATTATCCTCTAATCTTAGATATTCTATTATAGCAACAGAAAACTAAGACACATGCTTAACTTATTATCCATTTCATGAAAGAAACTAAGACTCTAATCTGATGATATCAAATACTACAGTTTGTAGAGAAGCTTACTTGACATAAGCGTACAAACCATACCAGGTTTCCTGAGTCTGAATCTCACCAGCATTCCCAAAGTTGGCAGCAGTAAGTCCTAGGTCCCAGTGGTATATCTACTGCAGGGGGACTGAGGACCAGTAACTCCTCTTCTTCTTTCCACCTTTGATGTAAAAATCCCTCATTCAGTGCAAGATGCCTTGAAGGCCCCAGACAGCCCTACCTGATAATGGATGACATGCTGAACTTTAGGAATATCCAGACCTCGAGCTGCCACATCTGTTGCCAAGAGAACACAACTATGGAGACAGAAAGCATATTCATAATCATAACTAAGAGCAATCATTAAACTCCCACCACTTGAACACTTCAAACACTACAATACAGTAGTTACAACCATCTTATAAGAGACTCCCTAAAGAAGCAGGCACCAGGTGTGGTGCTGTACACTTGCAATCCCAGCACTTGGGAGGCTAACATAAGAGGACTGCCTTAAGTTCAAGGCCAGCCTGAGATACATAAGTGAATTCAAGGCCAGCCTGAACTACATAGCAAGACCCTGTCTCAAAAAAAAAAAAAAAAAAAGGGTCAGAGAGATTTACTTCCCAAGATGGATATAGGCAGCATCAAGATCCAAACCTCAGCCTCACTAACCCACTATGTCATACTCTACAAAGACAGAAGGCCCCTTCCAGTGAATTAAATGAGGCCATATATATACTCTGCATCAGTGACCTCATCTAGCACCACCACAAATTTACTCTTCCCCAGACTATTTGCAACCTGCTCCCTGAATAGCAGTCTGATCCAAAGACAGAAGAACAAATAGGTCAGTGAGAGGCAGCATGGACTCTGGGGTCTGACAGACTTGGCTGAGGCCCAGCTCTGCCATGTCTAAGAAGGAAACCTTGGGTGAGCTGATCTCAGACTTGACTTTTTCATCTATGAGAATAGTGGTAGTTGAGATAGTAATTATTGAGGCTAACATTTAGCAAGCACATACTATGTGCCAAAGACTGTTCCAAGAACTTTACACAAATCAACTCTCAATTACTTTATCCTTCTAACAACTCCATGAGATAGTTTCTGTAATTATCCCAATTATGAGAAAATGCAGCACACAGATATTAAATAACTTGACCAGCTAAGAAGTGAAGGAGGCAGGATCTGATTGACAGCACTGTTTCAGTCTGTGCTCTTAACCAGAATTTATTCTGCTGTTGCTCAAGGACATTAGAAATAACTAAATGTGATAATACACCTAAAGTGTCAGCACAGGACATTATCTGTTGTCTAAATGTTCAATAATAGTAAGTATAAGGCTGGGGATTTAGCTCAGCAGCACAGTGCATGCCAGGCAAGCGCAAGGTCGTGAGTTCGATTCCTGGTCCCAGAAAAAACACACACACACAAAAAAAAAAACCAAAAAAAATAGTAAGTATAGTCACTTATAGAAATATTACTTATAGAAATTTCTATAGAGCATTAATAATAGCAAACAAATACACTAACTAAGGGTGACCCGGCCAAATACTGAACAAACACATAAATAAAAACATGGCTGCCTTTTACTATTAAGGACCCTATGACAAAAGGGGACTTCCTGTCATTTTCCTACTGTGCTGGGTTCCCCTTGGCCCAGTGGCTACAGGCTTAGTATTCAGAGAAAGGCTTGACTTACTCTTCCAGCCGGGCAAACTGCTCGAGGTTTCTGAGCCTCTGCTTCTGGTGCATGCAGGCATGGAGCGTCAGAGGCATGATATCCAGGACTTTGAGGAGTCCCGACAGGCGTTTGATACAGGAGATGCTGTTGGCAAACACTAAGCTGCGGCCTGGGTACTGCATCAGGAAGTAGTACAGGTAGAAGTCTTTCTCCCCTGTCTCACAGTGGATCTTGGTCTCTGTCAGCGTCTCTACTGTACCCTCATTTCTTGTGAGATCAACAACTTTAGGCTTACCCCTCATGCCAATCTTCTGCATGAGGACGTCAAGTTTGGCAGTTTTGTCCATTTTTTTAACATGCTTCTTATGAAGAAGTCGAGCAGGAACTTGATGTACCAGGGTCAGTGTAGCAGAAAAAACAAGTGTCTGTCTCTTTGGGTTGTACTGGGAGTCATTGAGCATCTCTAGCAGCTGTGACAGCTCAGCAAAATGGCCTTTCTCAACCATCCGGTCCGCCTCATCCACTACCAGGCACCTGCAGATCCAGACAGCCACATCACTGGTTAGCGGCAGGTGGGAGGAATCATCTGCACACCCTACTCCCACCTCAACCACACCTCTCACATGCAGGCACCCTCCCATCACCATGAGGGCCTCAACTTAACTCCCTCATGCACACCTTGCTTTCTAAGTGCAGGGCCAGGATGGTACCACACCATGGCATTCTAGGACAAGGAAGGCACTGCACACACTATCACGTCACCTAAAGCTTTAGCGCGGGTAAGGGAGAGGTACCATCTTTCACCTGAGCTGCCGAAGGTTGCTTAAATGAGACTGCTTTTCTTTAACAAGCTCCCATAGCCGTCCTGGTGTGGCAATCACAATCTCAGGATGACGGTTCAACATCCTCTGCTGTTTCTGTGTAGACATCCCACCAACCAAAAGAGCAGTTTTAATTCCTATAGGACAGAAAACATAAAGGACACTTATTCAGTTTGGCTACTATTTTGTCACACTCCCAAACAGTATCCCCACATTAGCAGATAGTCACCAGCCCAACCCCCGGCTCCAGGGCAGTGTTAAAGAACTAGCCTGGCCTGACCAACTCCTAGCACATTTAATTAGTATTTTGTCATCTGGGCACTGTCTACTTCTCCAAGCTCATTTCTTTCTACTTCCTCCCTTCCAACCACAACAGATGTGAATCAGTCATGCCTACCTCCAAAGCTCTGGGAAACATGAGCATTAGTGCACTATAATGCTGGAAAGGATGTTACCTGCAGTTGTGATATGCTTCCCTGAAAGGGTCAGTAAACTTTTTCTTAAAAGATCACTAGGAAATATTACTAAGCCTTGTGAAGCACACGGTCTGTCACAATTAACTTTATACCACTTTGCCACTGTGATACAAAAGCAGCCACAGGCTGCATACAGCCACAGGTGCAACTACATTCTAATAAAACTTTACTTACAAAAACAGGCAGGTTGCTTGCCCCTGTCCTAAGCATCTCTATCCAATAAACTAACTAATTTCCTCTGTACAGTCTCTAGAATGGATTTAGCTAAGCAGCATCCTTGGGAGAATTAAGAAAATGCCTCTGTAGGATTTAATTCTACCGCAGATGACAAAGGTCTTTCCTAGAGGGCAAAAGGCACAGTTCACTCACCTTTACCACTCAGCAGTTAGGATTTACTGAGGAAATACTTATTAAGCAGAATTAAACCTCACCTGTAAATCTGGCCACAGCATCAATATGCTGTTTGACCTGGACGGCCAGCTCTCGTGTGGGAGTCAGAACCAGTCCAAGCAGAGGATGCTTTGGATGTGTTTTACAGGTAACAATTTTGCCATCCAGCTCCTGTTTTAACTTGCCAGTCTGTTCTCCATCAAGCATTTCTTCTTCGTTCTCCATCTGTTTGGGGACAGGCTTCTCTTCAATCAGAGAAGGCCCTTCACCAGCATCATCATCACAGAGCAGGGCCTGGTCTGAGATGGAGGCAATGGTTTTGGCTCTGGCCTGAAATCCAGCATCACTGGGGAGTGCTACAGTCTCAACTCCAGCCTCACTGGGCAACACTCCAGTCTCAGTTCCAGCCTTACTTGGTGATCGAGGCTCTCCAGGTGGCACTCTCGTGTTACCTGCGATGGGCAAAGTCTTCTTCTTCTGCCACTGCAACACTGCATGAATCATTGGAATGGCAAAGGCAAGAGTTTTCCCACTTCCTTAAGAAATAAAACAAAATGGTCTGAATCAACAAATGTATGTATTTTTTTTCTCATCTAGGGCTTTCTTTTGCACCGAATAAAGGACCTTGAAATAGCTAAGGGCTACCCTGACCAATACAAAAAGCTCCTCCACTCTGCACAGGTTCCTGCAGAGCAAGGCAGTCAGAGAAATCTGTATTTTAGAGCACAAGGAGAAGTTTGGCAGACAGACACTGAGACCTGAGTTTGGCAGTGATGAACTGTAAACATCCAAGCAATGAAACCATAAAGAAAAGGACAAGTTTTGTTGTTTTAAAGGAACAAGACACTCGAAAGTGGGGAAGAGGAACTTTCCTAAGACCTTTCTTTGGTGAAGAGGGGAGGAAAGGAAATTTTCTAAGTTTTTCAGAAAATTTAAATATAGCACTTTTGTCCATGCGTAAAGATTTTTCAAACTGACTTTTGAACATACAGTTCATGGAGCCCAAATTCACATCACCTGAGTAGGAAAACAAGCAACACCTCAAGCTGAGAATTACAGCAACATCTCCTTAACTGGCATTTTATTTCCCATGATTTTAGTTACTTGTAGTCAACCAGGTCTGAAAATATAAACGAAAAAATTCCAGAAATAAACAATTTATAAGTGTTAGATTAGACTCCATTCCAAGTGGCATGATGAACTCTTGCACTTTCTGGCTCCTCTCACCCAAGAAATAAAATCTTCCCTTTGTCTCAAGTATTCACACTGTTTGTGCTCCCCTGTTTCCCTCCCCACAGTCACCCAGCAGCCACCTCAGTTATCAGAGCTAATGTCACTGCCTGTGTTTATGTAACGCTCATTTTGCTCAAGAACGGCCCCCGGAGTACAAGAGGAGTGAGGCTGACAACTCAGATCCGCCAAGGAGCAGCCGTAAACTTCTTGCTTTAACTAAAAAGCTGAAAGATCTCAAGGAAGGAAAAGAATCATATGTGACTGCTAAGAACTAGGAATGACTCTTCTTTCCATGAAATTGTGAAGGAAAAAGAAGCTACTGCTAGTTTTGCTGCTGTACCTCAAACTGCAATGCCACTGGCTGATAAATGCTTAGTGAAGATGTAAATGGCTTACATCTGTGTATGTGTATGTATGTAGAGTGTTCAGGACTCTGTAACTCCAGCACCCCTAGGGAAGCCTGGGAGGCATTCCAAAGTAAACTGCCTAGGTAGAATGATCTCTGGAGGAAAAAGATCATGATAAGCATTAAAGAAGGTTCACAAATAATTCTGAAAGAAAATGAGCAGCTTTAGCCACTCAAGGAAATAAGGTATTATGAGAAGAGGAGGAGGAAGAAGATGACGACGGTCACAACAGTGGTAAAACAGATCCATAAAACTTTAGGTAAGAAAAACAAAATTTCCATCAGAAACAAAAAAGCAGGAGGAAGCACAACATTTTTATTTGAAAGCCTGAAAAACAATCTGAAAATTTTAAGAAAAAACTCTTTAAAAGCAATGTGAAATAAAGGGTTTTTTGGTATACAGAAACTGAAATAATTCGCTAGCAACACAATTAAAAGAAACGCTAAAGGAAGTCTTTCGTGAAGAAAAAAAGATGGTATCAGATGAAAATCTTTACACAAAGAATCAAGAGTATCAGAACTGGTAACTATATAAATATATATATAAAATTTCTTTTGGGACTTTAACCACACAGAAATATATAACAAAAAGCACAAAGGAGGGGAGAAATGGAAATAAACTCTTGTATGATTCTTATAATACAAGTGAAGCAGTGTAAAAAAAAGAATATGCCCAAACAAAGACTGATACATCTAAATATTGGTAATTTCCAAAATGTCTCATCTACAGTTAGATGAACCAGGTGTGGTAGTGCATGTCTGTAATCCCAGCACTCCAGAGGCTGAGGCAGGAGGATCACCATGGGTTTGAGGCCAGCTGGGGATACAAAATGAGATCAAGGCCAGCCTGAACTGCATAGCGAAACCTTATCTCAAAAAAGACAATCCCCCCCCACACCAAAAAAAACCCAGATGGATGAGTAAATTGTGCTGTACGTCAGAATCTCACTAATAAAAAGGAATAAAGTACTGGTATTTGCAGTAACATGGCATAAGCTCAAATTATGCTAAATAAAAAAGAACCTGTTATCCCTCCTCCCAAAAGTACACATTGTATGATTCTATTATATAAAATTCTAGAAAGTGGAAGCTAATTTATAGTGATTTAGTGATAGCTTATCAGTGGTTTACCTGCCCAGGAATAAGGATAGGATGAGGGGGTATAGGGATTACAAAGAAACCTGAGGCATCTTTTCAGAGCAATGGTTATATTCACTGTTTCATGGGCAGCAGCTTATCTACAGTACCAAATGTAAGGCCTGTCCCATGTCTTTTCTAGTGCTGAACCTGCGGATACACAGCATTCTATGGGGGAACAGAGCACTGTAGATCCAAATGTCAGCTCTAGCCACTGTGGGTCACAAAGACACTGACTCTGCACATACCAAATCGGTATAGCACAACACTTAAGGACACAAAGACCTATCCTAGAATATGGGCTTGCCTTTTCAGTTTTAGGAAATCTATTCTCTGTGAGGCAGAATTTCTTCATCTATAAAATGGGAATAATGAGCTGGTGAGATGAACGCCTGGAAGGCTGAGGCAGGAGGATTTCAAGTTTGAGCCCAGCCTGAACAACTTAAATAAATTAAATAAATATAAAAGGGCTGGGGATGTAGTCAGTGGCCCTGGGTTTAACCCCCAGTATGGCAAATAAAGTAAAAATGAAATAATTACTTCACGGTAGTTATGGAAACTTGAGTTCTCAATATAAAGCACTTAACACAGTTCACTGCACAGTACGTGCAGTCCGGTACATGTTCTAAGTAATTATTATCTCCATTCCCCTTTCTTGGTTTTTCCTTGCTCATCCATCTACAGGATTTTCCCACAGGACCGTATATCAAGTTTACTGTTTCTAGCAGGGTCTATGTTTATAACAATATGCAGGGACTAAAACTATGGCTACTAAACACTTCAAATGTAATTACTCTAAATTGGTGTGTACTGTAAATTAAAACATACCAGATTTTGAAAATTTAGTGTAAAAGTATAAACACAAAACATTTCATTGATAATCTTACACAAATTACATTTTGAAATAATATTGATACCACTCATTAAATGTTTGTTAAAATTAACTTCTACTTTTTAAATTTTTTACATTTGAACAACTCGAGAATGACAGTTCTCCCCTATATTGAAGAAGATACATTTACTTCTTTAGCAGGCTGATCTTAGCCCTACCTTATTCCTTTGAGCCATTTAGAAAGGGTTTAAAAAGAAAAATTACCATTTTCAGATCATTTCCAATGTACTGTGTAAACTTTACTGTAGCAATTAACCTTCCCAACAACACAAGACATAAAGTAGTGCTTTTATCTGTATTTTATAACAGGGTGCAGAGAGAGAAAGCTAGGGTAGCAAAATCTGGAAGGGGTGGGTTTCAACCCAGAGCTGGCTGACGTCTCAACACCTTCACTAAACACTGTCTTTGGGGTTATAGTCTCAACAGTTCTCTCCCAGTTCTCCAACCTATTAACAGTTACAGATTGAATCCTGCCCTGTCAAAGCTGCCCTTACCTGTCTCAGCAGCCCCAAGGATGTCCAACCTGTCACGGATGGCGGGCACCAAGGTCAGGGCTTGGATTGGTGTGGGTGCAGAGAAGCCTAAAAAGCTGAGTGCTCGGAGAACTGGCTTGGGCACAAACAAGTCCTTCCAGGCTGACACATCTGCTTTCTGGTCATGCACTTCAGGCATCCATGTCTTAGCTTTTTTGGGCACCTCAGGGACAGTGCTTTGGGAAGGCTGTAACTTTTTCTTCCCCTTGTTTTTCTTCTTTTTTGGAACAGTTTGTACCAGGGCTTCTGATGCTATCTTCCCTTCCTCTGGACCAGGACAAACAGTGCCATCTCCCTGGGGCTCTGGTTCAACATCTTCAACCTCAAACTCTTTCCGGGTAGAGGTTTCTTCGGTAATCAGTACCACATCTTTATTCTTCTTCAATTTGATCTTTTTCTTTGGGGAGCTGGACTCTCCCTCCTCTTCTGGAACTGTCTGCACCTTTCTCTTCTTGGGGTCCTCTGAGAAGAGACTGGAGGGATTCTTGGCAGGGGAGACCAACCGGTAATCTGTCAGTTCCTCAAAGCAGACTAAGTCATCCATCTGTCCATCTGCAAACACGTTTGGGTCAATCGGCACCTGCTTCCATTCTCCCACAACTTTAATGCCCTTTGTCTGAAATTTGTCATGATGTGGTAGCTTTTGCCTCGATTCTGTCTCCTTCAACTTCATGGTTGCTGAAAAGGAGAGAAATGTTCCTTTAGGTTGGTGACTGAGAAGCACAGAGTTCTAAGGCAATAAATATTGTCTAAGCAACCTATCAATTACTGTGCTCTGCAAAGAACTGGTCACACATAGATTGCTGTAACACAGCTGCTCCCAGCTGGGCATGCTGGGGCACGCCTGTAATCCCAGCACTCAGGAGGCTGAGACAGGAGGATCACTGAAAATGCGAGCCAGTCTGGGCTACATAGACAGTTCCAGATTAGCCTGGACTACACAGTGAGACTGTCTCAATCAATCAATAAAAAGCTGCTCCCACCTGGAGGAGATGCTCCCGGCTGAAAAAAGACATACACCCAAGAACAGGCAGGTTGGCTTGGAACAGAGAGGTTATAGGAAATGGAGCAAAGACATGAGATAAACCTGGCTTGAATTCCAGATCTAACACTTAATGAGCGTGTGACCTCGAGCAAGGCAGCTTACTTCTCTCTAAACCTCAGTGTTTTCACCTACAAAGGGGGGAGGATCCTAACAGTACCTGAGCTGAAATAGTGTAAAAGATGGAGAATGAGATTTGCTATACAGAAGACTCAGAAGTTTTTTGTTGTTCGAGAGGGCACATGCCTGCTGCATCGTTCTGGCCTTTGCCACTTGGATTAAAATTCTTTTTAATGCTTTTTTCATTGCATTTTAAATAGTTTAAAGAACATTTGGCACAACTCTTTGCGTGGAACTCGATTCATATTGTTTAGAAAAGCTAAGAAAGACAACAAATTATGTGGAGCACAAAACCTCGCTAAATGAAAAGCACAGGGCTCTGAGGCAACAAACACTTCAGAAGTCAAACCTCGCTTCAAACTCGGACCCACCACCTGCCTGTTCTTGCCAGCCAACAGTGAAAGCATCCGATTCCGTGAACCTCAGTTTCCCCACAGAGGGAGCACCTGGATCGCCACACGCAAAAAAAATGGTGACGCACGTCAAAAACTCACTCAGCCAGGCGTGGTGACACACGCCTATAATCCCAGCACTCGGGAGGCTGAGGCAGGAGGATCGCTGGGAGTTCGCGACCAGCCTGGACTACAAAGTGAGCTCAAGGCCAGCCTAACTGCATAGCGAGACCTTGTCTCAAAAAGACAAAAGAAAGAAGAAATGGTGACGCACGTCAAAAACTCGCTCAGCATGGCGCCAGGCGGGGGAGGCCCAAAGGCACGCAGTTTAGGTTCACCCCCCCGGGCAAGGCAAGCCACGACCACAATCCACCGGGGTCCAGCTTCGAGCAGGGAGCGGGGACGTCACTACAATGGGGACGAGGACGCAGGGAGCGCGGCGCTGCAGAGCAAGCTAGGCAAGGTCTTCCTCGGCGCCGGCCGAGCGACAGGCTTCTCGCCTCGCCCGGAGCACTAACCCGCGCACGGAGCCTCCAGGCCGAAGCCGCCGGGCCTGGACAACCAAGAGGCCCCGGACGCGGGGACCCGCGCGCCGCCTGCTAGGCCCGCCCGGCACGGCGGCCTCCCCCGCCCGACCCAGGGAGCCCGAAGACCCGGCAAAGCCCACCAGACGTCTCGCCCCACATCCCTACCCGGTGCGGCCTCAGCCCACTCCCGCCCCGGTACTCACCGCGTGGATACGCCGCTCCGGCTTGCTCTCACGCGGGTCAGCCGCCTCAGAAATGTCGGACGCCGTCTCTCAGCTGCAGCTTCCACCGCAGTTCCGGGGGCGGGACTTGTACCCACGCGTGCGCGCTTCAGAAGGAAGTCCCGCCCTCACACCAAGTTTTGCTACCTGATTGGCTGCTCTACAGGACTTCTGCCGCGCAAGTGCAGAGAGCTTGGTCAGCGTGTGTGCCTGACGCTTCCTTACAGTCTGGCTTCTGAAATGAGTGTGCCGACTGGCCGGGCTGCGCGGGTCCTGCGCGCGTTCTTCATCCGAACGGCTGTGCACAAGTCTTGCAGTCGCTGTTCATGTATCGCCTACTGTGTTTATTTAACTTACAACCTAACCAGCCCTTATAGGACGTGCTAGTTTCTCCAGGTTGGGTTTTGTTTTGGTTTGCTTTAAACGTCTAGTCTGTTGCATATGGATGATTAAGGTAAAATGCATGCTTTAACGACCAATCGAAACAGGCTCCTTTGTAATAGAGCAAGAGAAATCAGCTTCACAGCAGATACTAACCGCGATGTGGCTGTCACCTGACCACCTGGAAAACTTTTCTCCTACCTCATGTCTGATGATGTGGGGAAACGGCACGGAATTGTCCAGGGTTCGGTCAGGTGGTACCAAACCCTCCCCTACCTTGGAGCGAACAAGTGTCAGAGTTTAACTCACGGGGGAGGGGGACTTGCCCCTAAATCCCCCAAATGTGGCGAAGCGTACAGCCTGGGCCCAAGTCTGATAACAAGCGGCTGGAGCTGTCCTTGTGACTGAATGAACCTGAAGGGCTGCACCTCTCTCGATGACCGGTTAAGTGCTCTTCTCGGGCCAGTTATACATCTTGGAGCGATGTAAGGTTTTCTGTGCAGAACGTGTCCTAAAAGAGTTGTTTTCTGGGAAAAAAGACGTTAGCAGAGACAGGCTGGAAGTAGGGCCTCTGAGGTGGGAATTGGGGGCATCATGCAGAGTCAGAATGGTACGTGCTGGAGATGTTCGTTGAGCGCCTCTAAAGAAAGAGACAAACATCTGTGTCATCAGGGTTCTTCAAAGAAACTGAGCCAACAGAATACAGATAATAAGGATGTGTGTAAATTGGAAAGAATTTTTTTTTTTTAAGATGGGAAAGGGGAGGATTCTGACCAAGAACAAAGGATGACAGTACAGTAGGGGGGACATAGGTGTTTCTCCTTCATCTCAGTATTCTAATGATAAAATATTTACTTTCTAAAGAAATAAAATACATAACTATTTTAACAGAGTCGGAGTTTTTTTTTTTCCACCTGGTAAAATTAATCAAGATCAAGACACCTAATAAGGGATGGGTCCTACTTGCCAGGGGATCCATGCAGCAGCATGCAAGGTGTGCCTACAGATGTGAAGATATATTTCCAAAAAATATACAAGAAGGGCTGGGATGTAACTCAGAGGTAGAGCACTTGTGTAGTATGTGCAAGACCCTGGCTTTTGAGGGAAACTTCCCTCAAAAAAAAAAACCAAAACAAAACAGAAGAGTGGACGTGGGCTCTATTAAACGTGTTGGAGCAACTGGGACAGTTGAGTTCATAAAACTACCCCATACAGGGAAAGTTGGGAGTCTGAAATCAGATTACCTGGATTGAAATCTTGAGTTCTGTAGTATTTGTTGTGTGACTTTGGAAAATTATGTATTCTTCCCGCATCTTTTTCTTGATCTGTAGTCAGAAGAATGGTAACCCTCATAGAGTGGTGAGGCTTAAGTGCAATAATGTAAGGAGATCACCGTGGTTCCTAGTTGACCTGAGCGCAGGCTGACCTTAAAATTCCTTGTTGTTGTTCACACTGTTGCTGCTAAGCATACATGTGCTTTTGATATGGTACACATCAAATACTAACCCGTTAGGGGAACACACACTTACAAAAGGCCCCATGGGATCATTTCCAGCCTTTTCTGTTGCCAGTAATACCACAGTAATCATTCATGTGCAGATGTTTTTGTGCAATTTCTTGATTCTTTCATTACAATGGATGCTAAGAAATAACGTTTCTGAGTCAAATGAGGTTCTGATGTGTGCTGACAAATCGCTGACGAGGAAAGTGCACATCAGAACACACCCTGCCCAGCAAGGACTGAAGAAGACTCTCTTTCCACTGCCGTGCAGACACTGCTTACTTTCAGATATTTGCTTTTTTTAAAATAATAAGATAATGAGGTAATGAACAGGTAATAAGGAGGTAGTCAGCAACATTCCATCCCCTGCCAGGAACATCCAGGATAAAAACCTAAAGACCACATATTGTTCTCCAAATGACCTGAATGTGCTAATCTAAGAGCTTTGTTCAAGAATGTGAAGGTAGAAGGGACACGGAATGTGCTTCCGCTACCACACATATTAGGAAGGTCTTGGTTTCCTGCAGCAGCAGAAGCAGAGCTCGAAGATCCAGTTGTTATTTACCAGGCAAGATGCAGGTATTAAGGCATCCATTTATGGCCACAGATGGATGATACCTAAGGTAGTTTGGCCCCATAGCCAACAGACGGGGCAATGCCTTTCCTATTGATTGTCGCATCCTTCAGTGACCCAGTTCTTCAGTGTCATCCTAGCGGCAGAGGGCACTTCTGGAACCTCAGCTGAGACCCTCCTTCGCAAAGCTAGAACACTCTCCTAGTCATCTGATTCCCTATGTTAAAACACATTCCACTTAATTTAGCTGGAGTGACCGCTGTTACCTTCAGCAAACTAAAATACACACCCACCCACACACACACACACACACACACACACACACACAATCACCATTCTTTTACTATTTGTGACATTGAATGTCATTTTAAACATTTATTGGTACATGTAATTCTTTCTTGGAGAACTATCTCTTCTGGTCTTTTGAGTTTTACTTTCTGAGACAACTCTTTAAAAATCATTTCATGGGGCTGGGGATTTAGCTCAGCGGCAAAAGCGCCTGCCTGGCAAGTGCAAGGTCGTGAGTTCGGTTCCCGGTGCCGGAGAAAAAAACCACACACACACACAAAAAATCATTTCATAAGAACTGTCTTTACATTAGGGATACTAATAGTGCAAAAGTACTTGTTTTGTTTTTCCCAAAATAGGTCACTTGTTTCTTAACTTTGTTCGTAGTATTGTTAATGACACATGCAGCTTGATGCTGAGACTGAGGGGTCACCATGGTGGAATAGCAATGGGACAGAAGGCTAAAATGACAAACCCCCGAGCACAACAAATTATTACCCCTTGTAGTATGGGAAGTTTCAGCAGCCCAATCATGAAACCTTGATAAAACAGCAAAAGCAGAATGTTTGCATGAGATCAGAAATTGTTAACTAACAAAACGCTAAATAAGCCTCTAACATCTGCTCTCTAAATAAGCCTCTAACATCTCTCAACATACAATCACTAATTTTGATGGTCACACTGCTGAGTAATACACCATTAGTTCCCACTAGCTTGCTGTAGGATAACACCTCTGTTCTGTAGGTGACAATAACAATTGCCTGGGCTATTTTCCAGGCACCTGAGAGCTTCTTGTGGTGAAAAAACTGACTCTTCTGAGTGACAGTATAGAAATCTGGTAGGTGTCTAAAACGGCACCATATCTTATTGTCTTTGTCTTCTTATTGTCTGTCCCTGTTGTGTGTCAACACTTGGGTCAGATTCTACTCAGCTGTGCACACAGGTTGATCATTTTCAAATGTTTGGTCCAAGATTATTATACAGAATTAACTTGGCAAATTGCCCATGGGAGCGGCTCTGTGTTCTTTTTCTCTCTCCTTTTTGGCTCCTACCCTTATGTTCTTCAGATGCCACAAAAACCCAAGCACTTGAAGTCCTTTAGCCCTATCATAGGACCCAGACCCATAAGGCTCAGAGGTTTTAGGCAATGATCCCACCAGCTACTCGAAAATTCCACAGCCTCTAGGATGAATTGACTGTGACCACCTGGTGACCCAAGTCCATCAGAAAAATAAACATCTCTGGAACTCTGGAATTCCCCTGAACAATGGGAATTACTGGCATTTAGCCCATGTCAACAAGTCAGTGAAAACCTGCTGCTGTCCTTGCTCTGGAGTTGTTTGGTCACTCTCTTGACCAACTGCTGACTCCCTTCAGCTGAAGCTCCAGTTTGGCTAAAGCCCCTGCCCCAAAATTTTGCCCGTGCAGGAGTGTGTGTGCCTTCAATGTCCCAGTCTTGTTTCCTTGTCCCAGTCCTAGTTCTACCATTTCTGGGTCAAAAGATACTGTCATCAGTATCGTCATGAAACAGAGAGTTGTCTTTTTCTCTTGAGTCACTGATCAAGAGCTCTGTAAATATGTTTTAAATGAAATAATAGGGAGGGGAACAAGGAAAGTGAGACTCTCATTGTTAAGACAGGAAATAAAAGTGGCAGAATTGGGGTGGAAGAGTCCTTCTGCTTAGGATAGCTTCAAATATCTTGAGTTTGTGCCTTGTTCAAGACAAACAAATGAGGTGACTTGACTTAGTGCCTGATTCTCCACCCAACAACTTTGTTTAGCTTTACCGCATCACCCTAAACAACTCAGCAAATGTTGCTTGCGTTTTCACTGGCATCCCGTGGTTTTTACAACTGGTTTGCAGAGTTCCTCTTGACCCCCAGGGGGCAGCAGTGAGTCCAGCTTCAGGGCCAAAGGAGAGACCTCACGTACATCCCTCACTTGTTTGGTTTCTCAGAATTTCCTATCACTAGAGTAGGCAGGAAAACAATCTGTTGATAGAAAAGAATGGTAGCATTTGTGCCAAATGGTGAGATATTTTGAGCTAGAGCTGGTCCAAATATTGCAGACACACACACTCTGGTACAGGCAGGGTTTGCAGAAGAGGCTTTAGCTATTTTGTTTTGTTTGGTTTGGTTTTGTTTGGTTTTGTTTTAAGAGGCTTTAGCTAAATCAGAGCTTTAGCTGAGGGGAGTCAGCAGTTGGTCAAGACAGTGGCCAAACTGCCCCCAGAACAAAGACAGTAGCAGGTTTTTAATGATTTGTTGACATGGGCTTGGGTAATTCTCATTGGTCAGGGGCACAGTTTCAGAGATGTTTATTATTGTGATGGGCTTAGGCCACCAGTCAACT